CAATGAAGCATTATCTATTAACCCTAAATATGTTTATGCATTGTGCAATAAAGGTAATTAATAATTAATTATTAATATTTAGGTGCTGCATTAATAGAATTGAATCGATATCAAGAAGCTATTGAATGTTACAATGAAGCATTATCTATTAACCCTAAATATGTTTATGCATTGTGCAATAAAGGTAATTAATAATTAAATATTAATATTTAGGTGATGCATTAATAGAATTGAATCGATATCAAGAAGCTATTGAATGTTACAATGAAGCATTATCTATTAACCCTAAATATGTTGATGCATGGTATAACAAGGGTACTCTATAAATAAATATTATTATATAGGTAACACATTATAAAAATTGAATCAATATGAAGAAGCGATTGAATCTTACAATGAAGCAATATCTATTAACCCTAAATATGTCAATGCGTGGAATGACAAGGGTAAATAATTGTTAAACTTGAATATTTAGGTCTCTCATTATACAATTTAAATCTATACTAAGAATCAATTGAATGTTACAATGAAGCAATATCTATTAACGCTAAATATCTTAATGCATGGAATGGCAAGGGTAATCTATCATTTATTATTACTACATAGGTAATGCATTATTCAATTTGACTCAATATGAAGAAGCGATTGAATGTTACAATGAAGCAATATCTATTAACCCTAAATATGTTTATGCATGGTGCAATAAAGGTAATTAATAATTAAATATTAATATTTAGGTGATGCATTATAAGAATTGAATCGATATCAAGAAGCGATTGAATGTTACAATGAAGCAATATCTATTAACATTAAATATCTCAATGCATGGTATAACAAGGGTAATTTGGTGTTAAGTATTATTATTAAGGTCTTGCATTATACAATTTGAATCAATATGATGAAGCGATTGAATGTTACAATGAAGCATTATCTATTAACCCTAAATATGTTGATGCATGGTATAACAAGGGTACTCTATAAATAAATATTATTATATAGGTAACACATTACAAAAATTGAATCAATATCAAGAAGCTATTGAATGTTACAATGAAGCAATATCTATTAACCCTAAATATTTTGCTGCATGGCATAATAAGGGTAATTTGGTGTTATATATTATTATTTAGGTCTTGCATTATACAATTTGAATCAATATGAAGAAGCAATGGAATGTTACAATGAAGCATTATCTATTAACCCTAAATATGATTATACATGGTTCAACAAAGGTAATTAATAATTAAATATTAATATTTAGGTGATGCATTACAAAAATTGAATCAATATGAAGAAGCTATTGAATGTTACAATGAAGCAATATCTATTAACCCTAAATATTTCAATGCATGGAATGGCAAGGGTAATCTATCATTTAATGTTACTACATAGGTAATGCATTATTCAATTTGAATCAATATGAAGAAGCGATTGAATGTTATAATGAGGCATTATCTATTAACCCCAAAGATGTTGATGCATGGTATAACAAGGGTAATCTATTAATAAAAATTATTATATAGCTATCACATTGAAAAATTTGAATCGATATCAAGAAGCTATTTAATGTTACAATGAAGCAATATCTATTAATCCTAAATATTTCAATGCATGGAATGGCAAGGGTAATCTATCATTTAATGTTACTACATAGGTAATGCATTATTCAATTTGACTCAAAATGTAGAAGCGATTGAATGTTACAATGAAGCATTATCTATTAACCCTAAATATGATTATGCATGGTGCAACAAAGGTAATTAATAATTCAATATTTATATTTAGGTAACACATTAGCAAAAATTGAATCAATATCAAGAAGCTATTGAATGTTACAATGAAGCAATATCTATTAACCCTAAATATGATTATGCATGGTTCAACAAAGGTAATTAATAATTAAATATT